CCTTGAATTTAATGTTTTTTTCATACAATGCTGATATTTCAAAAACCTCGTTTTTTCGCACTTCCATCACACTATACTGTTGAAGGGACTGAAAATCTTTTATCCATAGAAAGAACATTATGCTGTATATGTGTCCACGCAAGATGTGTCGTATTTAACTCGCATTTTAAAGAGTGTAAAGCTTTTACTCTGACATTGATATCTCTTATAACATGGATTGTTTCCGGTGAACAATTGCCTTGCCTCTACATGTGTTTGTGACGGGTGTCATAGGTTGGGCTGAAAACGCTCGCCATTTTGCAAACACATTGTATCATCATCATATGACAGCTATTCATAAACATATGCTCATGACATGTTCATGCTCGAAATCGTAATATTGTGTCTGTTTTTTGAAGAGATTTAAATTGATCATTTGATTTTTTTAATATTATTGTCAAAATCCTTAACATAATCCAGGATGCCTTACCTCATGTGAATGGCATTGAATGGAGTAAGGTGAAGATATGCTGGCTGTATGTGCCATCAATAAAGTCGGTTTTACCGTGTTAGCATGTCTTACCGCGGAGTCTAATCATCGACCTCCAGCTCTCCGTACAGAGGAAGGGAGTGAGTGATTGATTGAGCGAGGATGTTTTACGCCGCTTTTAGCAATATTCCAGCAATATGAGAGGGGTTGGGGGGTTGGGGGGTTGGGCACCAGAAATGGGCTTCACATATTGTATCCATGTGACGAGCTAACGGTTTAACCACTAAGCTACCCCACCGCCCCTATTCTACAGTCCTCAGTTCTCCGAACAGAGGAAGTGAGTGAGTGAGTATGGTTTTACGCCGCTTTTAGCAATATTCCAGCAATATGACGGCGGGGGACATCAGAAATGGGCTTCACATAATTGTATCCATGTGGGGAATCGACAAGCCAATGGTTAAATCACTAGGCTACCCCACTGCCCCACAAAGGAAGTGAGTACGTATATATGCTGTCATGACCATACCTAGGATCAGTATTGCACATGCTCATGAAAACTATGCCAGTGTTATTGTTTGAAATGTTAACCAATACAAAGTGGTCGTCAAACATTCTGATGTATTCTTAAACGAAAAAGATAGCATTATATCATAGCATATATTGACACCTTGTCGTGCAAAGTAAGTATAAACCAAGTGGGTAGGTTCCTGTGACAGGTGATACAGATAATGGCCATGCAACCAGATGGACAAAGGGCAAGAAACCTTGGGATGTAATAACATTGATCTCTGTATATTATCCTCTTCATCGTACCAGCTTCCAAATGCCAAGTGCTTACGTCTTTACGAACGAGTTTCATTTCATGTCATTGCAGAATCCTCCACTAGAGTTATCTATTTTTCAGTAAAGACAAAAAATGTGATTGGGTGTCTGGTCGATCATATGTACGGTAACCTGGCACTTTACCATTGCAAGGCAGGAGAATTGCCGTTAGGTGTCAGGCAACACACGCTTACGTTTTTATGCAAATTGGACGAGTGGCATGTGCAACCGCTAGGGCAGAACATAGTATATATACCCTTTCGGCAAGCAGCATTGATTTTCAGTGATCCATTGATATTATCTTTACCCCAACCCCTTTATGCCCTGTTAAATCTGTTTCGCGGCAGAGCGTCTGTATATTTATTGACGTTGTATATTTATATAAACTGACATAGAAATGCGTGAGTCAGTATGATCTTACGCCGCTTTTAGCAATATTCCAACAATATCACGACGGGGGACACCAAAAATGGGCTTCACACATTCTAACCATGAGGGGAATCGAACCCGTGACGAACGTACACTTTAACTACTAGCCTACCCCGCCGCCCCCACATAGAAATGATAGCTACTACGATAGAAGAATACTTTTTTGGACCATGACGGGTTAAACTGTGTATGATAAGTTTTTGTGTTTTTTCACTTAGTGAACCTTTGTTGTTTGGAGGGAGGTCTATGTGTGGATTCAGAATCACAAGTACATTCCTCCTTTTGAAGGTTACGTGTCCCTGAGTCTGATATCAATAACCAGTTTCCAGCGCTAAATTTCGTCAACACGAGTGTCTCTCTGAACATATAGCATGTAACCGTGGTTTAGCACTGAACATGAGGAGGCATTTCAAATACAAGTAAGACAATTTTCTCTTTCGTTTAACTTAGGTTCCAATTTCAGCTTCTTAAACTATGGTAAGTCATAAAAAATGTAGCTTAACGACAATGTGCACCGCCGCCACTAACGTTGTATGTCATCGTACCCCAGTTGCGTAGGTCGATGCTCATGATATCAATCACTGGTTGTGTTGCCGAACAAATATTTACAGACTGATGTCATATGGCTGGACCATTACTGAGTGCAGCATTAAACAACAAGCACACAAACAACAAAACAGTTGCTTGTACGCCACGGGTTCGTGACAAAGGGTCGTATTTAGTTTACTAACTGACCTTCGGTAGCACAATTACAAAAGGTGACAGTGAATGCTATATATAGGGTTAATGATGCAAGATGAGAGTTTGGATGCAATAAACCATGTGTGAAATATGTCGCATTTCACATGAACAGCTAGTTTACTAGTGCTAACACAACCCTTTTATTGGACTAATGCCAGACAGCGTTAGATGTCTTTAGGGTCGATTAACTTAAAAAATCTGATTAAACTTATATGTAATCCTTAGTGTAATGTATGAAAAACTGAAAAAGTATCGCTACTACATAAATGTGACAGTATAACCCATCTAAAAGCATTAATTTTGATTCACCCATTGGCCTCCACGTGTGGTTAATTTAAAAACTTATACAGCACAGAGTAAAGCTACGAAATGAGACACTGAAATATTACATAAACTGTGAACAAAAGCCACAATCCCTTTCCACAATAATTATATAAATCGTCAGGGCAAGAGGATACCTCGTCTTGACTAGCTTCAGAAACAGACTGCATTTAGTGTAAAGGTCGATATATAGCTGTGAAACTGATTATGAATGCCCCATAGAAAATCAGGGATCACACCAGGTGTTCACAAACAGGTTAGGCATGTCTTGCCCAACCGTAGGCACCCGTCATTCACCCATTTTGCCAAAGAAGAACGTATTTATAGCGGAGAGTCTGAATCTTCAATCCTTCGCCTATCGCATGAACTGAATAACAGATTGTGATGAGAAACAAAGCTCATTGTACTGATCAGTGTATTCGCCTTTCATCATGCGAATCAAATATTGTTGTACGTGAGTCAAACAGCACGTGCCAAAACTTCACCGCCTCTCTCGTGGACAAAGTATGAATATGAATGTGTCATAGATACATCAAACGTCAACCTCAGTAACCAGCAGTGAACCAGTGTGTCTCATTGCCGGCTTCATAGTCACGAGGGCACAGAAAATGCACGTAATCACTCATGATTTCCGGGGAATTATACTAAAATCTCAAATAAAATGTCAAACAGAAAGTAGAAGTAAATGAAAAGTTGGAACATGTTGTCATCAATTGAGTATCTTTATTCAGTGAAACATAACAAGTACATGATAATGTATGGCTTTGTTAGAGGTTAAATACAGTGAACGCGAGGCATGATTGAAGGGACAATAATCTGTCCCATGGTTAGAAAATTCAGAACGCGATTATCTGGATGCTTCACTAAGTTTTTAACGCGGTTTCATTCTGCTTTTGGCGTGTTTCATTTTCATATAATTTCAAATGACCATTTACAGACCTCCTTGTTGCTGGTGTTCATATATAGGAACATTCCAATACACGAATACATGACATTTTTTAGGGATAGCAACGTCTTTTTGTTCTTTATCACGACGTTTCGGAGCTAGTTCTTGAGCCTTCATCAGCTTTAAATATTTAATGACTTTGCAATTTGCGATTCACCTGATGAAGGTGTACTCTGAAACGTCGTGATGAAGAATATAAGGAAGTTGTTTTCAATAAAGCGTGTCATGTATTCATGTTCGTCCAACTTCTAAATGTAGGCCTATTTAAAAAAATTCAAAACGATATATATTTATAGATCTGTAAAAATATATTCCACAACAGCTCTCTGAATATTTAATGACTTTGCAATGGCGATTAAAAAGAATGATCTGACTGTTATTTACTTAGATATATTACATAATATACAAATTACGTGAGTCTTGTACGCGGTAAGATATATTACATAATATACAAATTACGTGAGTCTTGTACGCGGTAAGATATATTTACAGTGTAAATACATATACTTAATATGTGCAAATAATTGCTTTAACGCCAATATTAACATTAAATATATACATAAACATATCCACAGAGATAAGCATCTGTTATTTACAGGTGGACCTTAACGACCAAGCCAAAGTGTAACAACGGTGTAACAAGGTCACGCTGACATGGCCCAGTAACCGCGACACACGGGTTTGTTGAGTTTCCGTTTCACAGCCGTCCAACAAGGAAATATTTGCAGGGCAACACTCCCCTAACATACATGCAGTTTAGAACGAGTCAGATGATACTTGCAACGGTTGACAGATTTAGTAACTAGTAACTACAGACCTCTCTTGTGGTCGGAAACTTTCAATCGGATATTTTCTCTACTGATGAGAACTGTGGACAACACAACTAATATGATTACAATTTTACATTATTGTTTAATTTTCAATTTAATCACACACAGACAGACAGCCAGAGAGAGAGAGAGAGAGAGAGAGAGAGAGAGAGAGAGAGAGAGAGAGAGAGAGAGAGAGAGAGAGAGAGAGAGAGAGAGAGAGAGAGAGAGAGAGAGAGAGAGAGAGAGAGAGAGAGAGAGAGAGAGTAATACTCCCGAACTAAACGTTAAACATTTCACCTTAATTCTATGCAATGTAAAGTTAATCATATTATCACAGATCTACTTGAAATCTTTAATGCACAAGATGCTTAACATGTAGCGAAACGTGATCAGGTCGTCAGGTGTTTTGTATATACAATAGCCTCTTTGAAAATTGTACGTCTCGCTGATTCACGGATTATTTTCGAGTAAGTAACTTTCGCAGATTACTTTTAACATATTACGGACTAAACACTTTATAAGTGAAACTATGCGTTTTGAGTAGATCTCAGAACGCGTGTGATTAATACGATGCATTGTGAATACATGTATAGGTTTGTATGACATTCCTTCTTGATGCTGATTTATTACAGAATGCTACACTCATCCAAAGTACAGGGCCTAGATTTTCGAAGCTCTCTTAGCGCTAAGATAGTCGTAAGGTAATGTAAATGAATGACACTTACGACTATCTAAGCGCTAAGAGAGCTTCGAAAATCTAGGCCCAGAGCCGTTGACACATTCGTAGTGTATGTCATGTAGAAATAATAATGACACTACATGAATATTTAACATTAACATATATACTAGTATTTCGTTCATACACATATGCTTCGGCGAGTTAACATATCATGGATAGGGGAGACGAAGTAGCCTAGTTTTAACCGTTGACTTTGGTTCAATCCCTACAGGTATATCTGAAACTAGCGTAAAGGCGTCCATGAGGCTGGTTTTGCTGGAATATTACTAGAACCCTTTTCACTTAATCACTCACTCAATATATAGACATAATGACATAATATACAGACATAATCCAATGAACTTATGTTTGCATCGTTAATAAATGTCACGCAAATACGCAATCAATTAGAATGTCCTCTGCAGGAACTTCAGCAGCCCTCTTCACGCGGTTGTCAGCTACACCTGTCCTGCAACAAAAGTAAATACACGACACAAATCAAATTAGATCTCATGTTTCCTTACATGAAGCAAGGTGACGGTAATCCAGCTTATAATCGTTATTAAAATAATCAGTGAATACCGCTAGTCCTGAACGATACCCTTTCTCTCTATAATTACATGTTATGAGGGGCAGTTTTGTGTTCACATGAATAAAGAGGAAGAAGTGTAGTTGGTGCTGATAATCAAACTAGGAATTAACTGATCATTATAAAACATTTCTTGGAAAATGAGGGTTAGACTCGTCCCGTGTTTAAACGTCCTGGTCGTACCTGTGGTGGATGTTGGAATCTGTCAGCGGCGTGTGAGGGAATCTCCGGCAGAGGTAACTGAGTGCGTCGCCTGTACTTGTCGTTTTCCTGTTCCAAAATTACATTCCGTTTCCGTTTCTGGAAGAAGATGCAATATACATAATATACATATCACAATTATATCGTTCTACGTATTGGCAGCTGTTGCCTCCAGTACATAACAGTAAATATCAAGTCAAAATCTGAACTGGAACTCAGTTGGAAGAGGCTCCCTGCTAGAGAAGGTAGCTTATTGTTAAAATTAGTAGAAGTCTTTGAATGTCATTTAGAAGTGATACACATAAGGAAGACAGTTTTATGGATGTCCTCATAATAAAGAAGTTGACCATCGATCTCTTCCTGAAACCTAGTAGAGTCTACAACAGGCTAGGTCTTTTAATGTATGAACTTCCAAGAAATTAAGAGAATAAACATTTCTTTACGAACACCCGGTATCATCATTATTTGACGGTGTTCTTGATATAAGCACTGTAGGAATCGTGCAGTCGACAATTCTTATATGAATGGTTTTAAACGCCTAAACGCATAATGCATTTGTCATATGACTAGTATCAAAGGCAGATATGCCGAAACGTGGTGTCCTGTTACAGCCTGATTAAAAGCTGAAAACCTATTCCTGAAAACCTATGGAATGTACTCCATACAATGACGATCACCTGCACGACTGCGTAGACATCGCTGGCCCCCTTGTCTGCATCCTGACACTCCAACGTCTTCTTATCACAGGACGCGAGCGCCTCTGTCAGAGCATCATGCAGAAATAGGTACTGCGCCTGTTGGAAAAGTCAATACCGTTTAGGGACCGTTCATGATATATGGCTTGGGGTGGGGTGGTGGTGATGATGATTTTTATGGATAAGCATGTAGAATGTGAAAGATGCCCCTAAAGTTTATGCAAAACATAATTGACCCGCCTGCATCTCATGTACAAAGTCAATGACCCTCCCACCCCACCCTCCCATAATTTTTAACCATAATTTTAAACATATTTATATGTACAAATTGATCGCCCCTAGTACGTGTGTACAAAATTGATGCCCCCAAGCTCCCCAGAACAAAATGGGTGACCCCCCTTAAAATCATCATTCTGAACGGTCCCTTACATTTCTGTTCAAATCTTGAACATTAACAACAATAACAAAAACAATTATCATCTAAAACGCTTCAAGACAAAAGAAGGAGGATAGGTCTGTTTACTAGGGGGACTAGTTATTGAAGGTCAGGCCTAAGGGATGCACGCTCTTAGGGATGCATGTTAGATACGAATTTCAAAATGCCCATATATAGGACACACTGCAGACATTCAAAGAATCAAGTGCCAACTTCCTTATATTCATCAGTTATAGTGACACAAACACGACATGATGGCGTGGTTTCGGTCCTTGTGTAAGAGGTCCTGCCATGGTACGACCCAGAATGTGTAGAGGGCGTCATGTCATGGAAATGACAATTACAACATTCTTCGGAATAGTCATAGATATCCATGCCATCAAACCCGACCATGTCGTGTTTGATAAAACAAATGAAACTATGTAAGTCACTGGATTTTCGGCCCCTTTGAAGACAAATGTGATTGACCAGATATATGGATTTATACCCGCATATTCTGTCACGGTAAAATTTTCTGATGATTTATCTTCAATATATTCTTTCAGTTTCAGCCAGAACGTTTTCACACACTCAGATTCCCAATAAACATGTATCAAATTTTCTGACATTAAATTACAAAATGAGCAAAGTTCATCATCTACTAATTTCATTCTCAATAATTCTTCTTTTGTGTAGACAATATTTCGGATAAATTTAAACTGAAAATAAATTTTCTATATTTTCTAAAAAATATCTTGCCATGGAATTGCAATATCAAAGATATTTTGCCATTTTTCACATGTTGAAGGTAGGTTTTCAGTAGTTATAAGTTTATCATAGAAATATCTGGATCTCTTTGGTGCTGAAAGTAAATCTATCCGTGATGTGTTAAGATAATGATTATGAACAATCAATAAATTCTTTCTTATAGTTCCTTTCCATTTTTGGGATATATTTGAAAGAACCTGATAATAGTCAAGAATTGTGCCTTAAAGTTTGTAAGTTTTCTTAAGTTCACTAAATGGCAAAATACCTTGATCATTACACAAGTCTCTTATAGAGTGAATACTTTTGAGATGCCAATGTCTTATAATGAAATTACTATTTTGGAATTGGTGATTGAACCAAAGGGGTTGGGATAAGATTTGATCAATATCTGTAAAATCAGTTTTATGTGTTTTATAGAATATTCCCCATGCAGCCAAAACATCTTTCCAATAGGGATTCATAATACTGACATAATTTTCAATATTGGCTCCAAGCAGAAATATATCTTTACATGGAAAGATACTAGGGCTAGAATTGCTATTATTTTGAAGATATTTATGTAAAACTGACAGTTTTAAAGAGTTTATGATAATACCTGTACATTAACCATTCTGAGTCCCCCCCTCTTCATATTTTCTAATAAGTGTCGTTCGCTATATCTTATCCCGCTTATCATTCCAGATGAATTTATAAAATATATTGTTTAATTTGTCAATTAATTCCTTTGGAGGATTTGGGAGTGAAGTGAATATATGCAACAATGATGAAACTGCTAAAGTTTTAATAACAGTTATGATTGATAAGATTTGGCAAAAACTTGGCATATAAGTAGACCTCGGTTTTGGACCTTCCAATTTCTTGACTAAAATTCTGGAAGTGAATAATTCTGACATTCTAGGCAATGCAAAAGGTCACTCTTAACATTGGCCAAATCAGCCTGACTGATCCAGTGGAAGGATCAGTACGCATTCGATTTCAACTCTCCCTGGCTCCCAGGCGAATATAAGCCCAAACTACTGTAAGGCGCGAGCAGGCTATCCATTTCCCATCCTACCGGGTACCCGTTCACCGCATGGGCGAAACCGTCTGGATTCAAGATGCAAAAAGCGACTATCCATCAGATTACCCTCCGCGAACTTTGTTGATTAGTTTGCACTTGACACAGGACGACGTACATTCATGTCATGTAAAATATATTTCATATCTGTATGGAGAAACACCTCACCTCAGTCTGTATTAGATCCATACGCTGGTGCCGGAGCCTGACAATACACTCAAAGATATCCACCACACCTTCCGCCTTAGCTTGGGCAATCAGATAGTCAAGTGCTATCCAGGTCCCAGTTCGGCCTATACCAGCACTGAAAACAACATTCACCCCAGTGATTTTGTAATGCCAACATCTAGTGATATCGACGCAGTTTGATCCTGTTTTAGGGCCAACTTTAGATTAGTATTTCAGCTACACTATGGCTTATTAACTAAATGTTAAAGCGAAACAGGAAGTCCCAATCATCTTACATTTAGTAAAACCCATGAGAGCTGATGGAACAAGAACATGACAAGAACATGACTGGGATGAGAACCTCAGAATCGGGTGCGCCTTCGGGATGCATGTCTGCGGGGTTTGATTCACCCACACATAAACAACCATAGACACAAACGCAACACAAACACGTTAGAGGAACAGTTTGGGATATTTGACAGCTATGAACGCAAAAAACCCCCAAAGCTTGCCTGTACGAAACATACACTTTATAAGTATTCATGTACAACGATTAACTGTTTGGCCAAACATATAAGAGAGTAAACCCCAATTGAATTGATAATGAAACTGCATTGTTGCCTTATCCCCCTCGTATCACGTCAAGAGACGAGAAGAGATAATACTTAGGGGCTTGCACTCGACCTTGAGGATACTAAACATAGACTGGTCAGAACGGAGTCAGTATACCGTGTCTCAGGTGGGTATCGATGATAAACTGCGGAAACAGTAGGAAATCATAAGAAAATCCGCCATCAGCCCGCATTATCTACATCCCATTTCCCTTCACAGTTTGGTTCAGACCTTCCCAATAACAATTGTCTAAACGGTATACGGTCTACGTGAACACATTTCAGATCGTTACACTACAAGTTCGACGTACCTGCAATGGACAACTACCGGGCCTTTGCTTTTTGACGGTGCGTTCTTGACCAGTCTGTGGAAGTCCACCAGCGTCCCGACATCTTCTGGGACTCCTTTGTCTGGCCACGCAGTGAAGTGGTACTGCTTCACGGTTCTGACAGGGTCTTCATCCTGTGAACCGTAGTGTTAGATATCAAACAAACTGGGATTACAGGAATATCCAAGTAACCGAAGGAAACAAAACACATGTCCAGGTTATGTCACACATAGATCTTGCCTTATTTATGTCATCATCCGCAGTAGAAAGGCTAAAGGTGTCAACGAGTTTGGTCCCTTTGGGATCAACCATGGCGGTAAACACGTAGTTAGGTCAGTGAAAATAGATAACGGATTAAGACAATATTGAAACACTGTTGGGATTCCTAAGCGAGACAACAAGTGTGTGCAGTACATAAGTCACTGCTTACCTGCCATGGGTGTGACTTTTGGACTCTGGAGGGCCAGAACAGGACAATTTTGTTATCGAGGTAAATCAACATCCTCATTTCGCCCAGGTATAACGCCCCAAATGGGACACGACTTTGTTTACGTCTGTCATTGATCATTCTGACACTCCATTGTTGCTGGAGACGTTGAACGTAATCCAGGCCCTGATGAAATTACAAGACAAAGCAAATCATTGCATCGTCTCAGGAAAGAGTACAGACTCATTTGTCCACGAGAAATGCTTGCGTAGCTCCAGATAGAGATGAACAAATTTGTACACTGAATGACCTCGGTATAACGCTCTAGTTCATCAAAACAGAACTTACCTCCCTTAACAACAAGTTAGATGTGTTTACCAGTGACTTCAACAACAAGATAGATGAGCTGAAGAAGGACAATCAGAAGCTTCAACAGAAGGTTCTCTTGTTGGAAGAATAAGTTGACGTTAGGGAAGGTAATTCACGTAGAAACAATATGATAATGAATGGAATTAATGAAAAACCACGAGAATCTTGAGAAGAATGTGAAGAAGCAGTGATGCATGTTATGAGCGACACACTCAATTTAGAAAATGCGCATTCAATTCCTATTGAAAGAACTCACCGCTTACACTCGAGGTCAAGGAACAGACCGGTCATTGTGAAACTGACTTTTTTCAAAGATAAATCTGTAATCCTTGCTCCGGCTAGAAAACTGTTGAAAGAAAATGAAACTTACAGGGTCTCAGATGACTACACAGAACGAAGAATTCCGTGAAAACAATAAAACTGCTTTCCTAAGTTATGACAAACTCATTGTGGATGGTGACGTCTATGGGTATGATGATATGCAAACTGATGTCCGAAAAGTAGGACAACGTCGAAACTGGACCACATCTAAGTAAACTCATCCCCCAACCAGATCTTCACAGGAATAGGACAGTGGCCGTGGCCTATCAGATAGGGACTATGATCAGCAACAACACAATGGTGGACTTAATATAAACTTTTGGAACATTCATGGACTTCGATCTAAACTGTTTAATAAAGATGTTTCTTTACTTTTTTGAATAGTTTGAACTTATCTGTTTGATTGAAACAATGTGTTCAAATTCAACTAATATAACTAATATTTTGCCAAATTTATTTCAGCATTACACTTTATTCCATTCCGATGCTAAAAAGCTAAGTGTCCAGGGCAGATATTCTGGTGGCATGAGTGTTGGTGTAAGGAATACATATGCACACAGATTTGAGAGAGAAAACTGTTTTCTTTAGAATTAATGGTGCGAATACGTGTTATCCATTATTCATGGGAGTTATATATATCCACCCAGAAGGTTGCCATATATACGACCACATGGAAGGAAATGGAATAGATCTTCTAGAGGAGAAATTGTTGCAGATCACATCTGATAATGGAGCAGATTGTCAGTTCATTCTCTGTGGTTATTTGCCAGAACGTCACAAGAACAAGATTAAAAACTCGATGATGATACTTCCTACATACCTGTAGCTCAAGACTATAATTCAGATGCATTTTGTTGCCCAAGACAATCCTCTGATATTGTTATGAATACTTATTGGAGATGACCTCTACAACTATGTAAGCAGTACAATATACATATTGCCATTGGACGTACTCGGGGAGATAAACCAGCATATTATATATTTATATATCATCAAGGATGTAGCTGTGTTGACTATTGTCTCATGTGAAGTACAGTAGAATACTTTTATAACGAACAGGGATATAACGAACTGACGACTATAGCGAACTGTTTTAAAAGTCCCGAATAAACCTTATATTATCATATAAAAAAGTGAATAGCGAACTACTGATATAACGAACTAATTTAAGTGGTCCCTTGGAGTTCGTTATAAAGGTATTTTGCTGTAATATTTTCCACAAGATGAATGATCTAGAAGTCTTATGTAGAACTGAATCAGACCATATGCCTGTTAAGTGTTCACTGATAGATATCTTACAACCGTTTCATTCAATGTGACAAATACAACAATGCAAATGACTGCAACTGTTCGATATAAACTCCCTGAAAGTGCAAAGTCTGGATTTATCCGTATGCTACGATCAACTTTAAACGATAGTATATTTGAAGAATTTGAAAGACTGTTTTTCAAGGACATAAATGCAGCAACATACAGGATGACTGACATCTGTACTTTCTTTGGGGGAAATATGTTTCAAGGAAATAGGAACAAGAATTTTCCAAAACAACAACCTCCATGGTTTGACAAAGACTGAGAAATACAAGTGCCTAAACAAATATAGGAAATACAAGTGTACAACAAATTTACACAAATATATTACGGCAAAATCAAATTTTACGGAACACTGAAAACACAGAAAGATGGAATATGAACAAAAGACAGCTGAAAATATCAACGAAGCGGTCAAGAGCAAAGATTGTAAAACATTCTGGAATACACTGAAATTGTCTTTGTCAAATGAGAAAAATACATATGATAATAATCCAAATGAATTCTATGAATACTTCAAATGCCTTTTAAGTCGTGATAAATCTGATAATTTGAATGACTTCGATCAGCAAGTCAACGATTTTCTTTTAAATCATAAATGTTATGATTGCTGTGAAAATATATAATCTTCCGAAATAACAAATCACTAAATTACAAAGGCTGTTGAACAACTCAAGAACAACAAAGCCCAAGGAGAAGATGGGATTCCTGCAGAGTTTCTTAAAGTGGACATTGTTAATATACTTCCCTATATGAACCTACTATTTAAAAATATTTTGAACTGTGGTATTTTCCCAGAAGCATGGAACATAAGACATGGAACATCGGTGGAATGATGATCACTATTATTATTGAACAACGATTAAGATCTTGGATGGAACCAAACGAACTTCTTGCAGAATCTCAATCTGGCTTTCGTGAAAAGTATTCGACTATTGACAATATATTTACTCTTCAAGCACTCTCTACCAAATACTTATCAAGATCGAAGCATCGTTTCTACTGCACATTTATAGACTTCAAAAAAGCCTTCGATTTTGTTCCAAGAAAAAACCTTTTGTACCTGTTATCGCTAAAAGGGAGCCATGGGAAAGTATACAATATCATCAATAATATGTATGACTCTGTGAAATCATGTATAAATATTAAAAATGAAAAGACACCATTATTTACAACAAACACAGGCGTTCGACAGGGATGTGTTTTGAGTCCCTTGTTATTTATTTTCTTCATCAATGAACTTGTGAGTGAAATGTATTCTACTTGTAACCATGGTATTTTCGTATCACCAGCTATTGAGGATCTGTTACTTCTTCTGGTTGCAGACGATGTTGTGACGTTTTCATATACTATAATAGATTTACAACGACAACCTGATTGTGTATCAACCTTTTGTAAGAAATGGGGACTTGAAGTGAATTTGCAAAAAACAAACATAATTGTGTTTAGAAATGGGGGCATAATCTCGAAAAATGAATCCTGGACATTTGAAGAAAAACCTGTAAAATGTACAACACATTGAGTTCTATTCTCGTCATCACTGAAATGGACCAAGAACTGCCAGAGTTTCTCCGCCCAAGCTGGAAAAGCCGTCATTCCCATCTATAGTCTCTTCAAGCAATACTCATCAATATCATTCGAGTCTGCCTGTCACATATTTGACAGCAAAATTAAACAATATTGCTCTATGCGCCTGAGATATGGGGAATCTAATATCAAGAACGTATAGAAAAGATACAAGCTAATTATTTTAAAAGATTTCTGAACGTTGGAAATTTGCATCAAATAAAGCAGTTCTGGGGGGAAATTGGACGATACCCATTATACATATGTACACAAGTAAAATCTGTCAAATACTGGATCAGCCTACTAAGAATGAACGAACGCAGATATCCTCACCAATCCTATTTAATGCTGAAAAACTTAGATGAAAAAGGAAAAGTAAGGAGTCTGCTATTTTCTTGTGGATTCTCACATGTATGGTTTTCCCAGGATGTCGGAAATGAAAATAGTTTTATTTATCAACTGAAACAACGACTTACTGATACATATGCTCAAACATGGCATGATGAAATCTCAAACTAAACATATCTAGCGCATTTCAAGACTTGGATACATCCCCTCTGCAGCCAGAATTCTACATAAAACATGTTGAAGATAAAAACCTCCGACGAGTACTTTAGAATATCTCTACACGATTTTAAAGTAAATATTGCAAGGAAGAGTAAAAATGTTGAAAATGTTAATATTATTTGTACAAATTGTAATGATTACAGCATCGAGGATGAATTTCATGTCTTGTTCGCTTGTTCAAAGTATTCAAGTTTACGAATGAAGTTGCCATTTACATATCAAGTTAAGAATATGTATACAATGACAAACCTGTTAAATTTCAAAAATGTAAATACCCTTAAATCCGTTGCAATATTCCTGAAACAAGTTATTCGTTTAAGATGTATGTATGTATGTATGTATGTATGTATGTATGTATGTATGTATGTATGTATGTATGTATGTATGTATGTATGTATGTATGTATGTATGTATGTATGTATGTATGTACGTATGTATGTATGTATGTATGTATGTATGTATGTATGTATGTATGTATACTTAAGATAACTGTACACTAGGTCATGTAGCCATTCTACTGAATAAAAAGATTGATTGATTGATGTATTTCAGTTAGGCCAGTCTGGTATGAGAGGGAAGTCCCACGCCTGGCGTTAGTGATAACTAACAGTGATAACTAAAGTGTTTATTTCACGACACCCCTATAACAGATGGATGGATATACAAAACAAATATCTTGATCTTGATTCATGACATTGTGATATTAGTCCATGTCATTGCAACATTTTAACTGAGGTATTGTGGCAAAGGAATGGGTGCACTCAAAGATAATCATTTGCAAATAGGTGTACAAAGCTGCAGGTTTGTGCAGATGTATGACCAGGAATAGGAAACATTCAGCCTGTTAGTGTGCCAAGTCGTTGTCACGGGTCAGGATAACCTTCCTGCACATCACCCCGTTGTTGTGTATGAATTGTTTCATTACAATGACCAAATTGCCTTCAATGTTTGTGGTAGGGTATAAATACCTATTTTGGGATCCCAATATCCCAAGAAGGATAAACACGTGTACATTGTGTCTTTTGTAACATATGCCTCATAGAAAGTGTTTCTTATGACTTGAGTGGGGCAAACGATATTATCACTGCTTTGAATAATATTATATATCAGTTATACGTTATAACATTGACTGTCAGTTTAATCTGGATGGGAAGACCAAAAAGATGACAAACTTAAACGTTTACAGACGATCATTTGTATGTGTGTAGTTTAACGCCGCACACAGCAGTCAGGTCGCGACTCGTGAGGATCGATTTACACATATGAGATCCGACGACATTCATAAATAACCATTTCAGGGAATCTTATTATCTCACCCCGGCAGTAAATATTTTTACTTTAAGGTCAGTTCTAACCCGGATCTTTAAAAGAGGGCAAGGATTGAGTGATGACAACCAAAACAATCATATTCAAGGCGTAATGGGATTCGACCCTAAGATTAGCTGTTCACAACCAATGGAACTAAGCCTCTACGACGTATTTCAGCCTTCAGACAAATGAATTTTGAACAAACGCATCTATGATATTCCTTTGCATTATGTAATTTGCAATTAAAGTACACACTACCCTATAACTAGACAACGTCATCACTTGAATCTATCATCAAATTACTGCTCACTGCTGACAGCATAAGACCGAGTATGAAAGAACAGAGATATTGTATGTAGTCCTCACTCTGTAGTGTACCCTTACCCTTTGTACAGAAAACGACCTGACTGTGTAGTTTATCCTTATCATGTGTACAGAGAACATCCTGACTGTATAGTTTATCCTTACCCTGTGTACAGAGAATGTCCTGACTGTGTAGTTTATCCTTACCCTGTGTACAGAGAACATCCTGACTGTGTAGTTTATACTTACTCTGCATACAGAGAACATCCTGATTGTGTAGTTTATCCTTACCCTGTGTACAGAGAACGACCTGACTGTGTAGTTTATCCTTACCCTGTGTACAGAGAACGTCCTGACTGTGTAGTTTATCCTTACCCTTTGTACAGAGAACATCCCATGACTGTGTAGTTTATCCTTACCCTTTGTACAGAGAACATCCTGACTGTGTAGTTTATCCTTACCCTGTGTACAGAGAACATCCTGACTGTGTAGTTTATCCTTACCCTGTGTACAGAGAACAACCTGACTGTGTAGTTTATCCTTACCCTGTGTACAGAGAACGTCCTGACTGTGTAGTTTATCCTTACCCTGTGTACAGAGAACGTCCTGACTGTGTAGTTTATCCTGACCCTGTGTACGGAGAACATCCTGACTGTGTAGTTTATCCTTACCCTTTGTACAGAGAACGTCCTGACTGTGTAGTTTATCCTTACCCTTTGTGCAGAGAACATCCTGACTGTGTAGTTTATCCTTACCCTTTGTACAGAGAACCTCCTGACTGCGTAGTTTATCCTTACCCTGTGCACGGAGAACTACCTGACTGTGTAGTTTATCCTTACCCTGTCCAGAGAACAGACTGTCCTCCTTACCCTGTGTAGAGAACATCCTGACTGTGTAGTTTATCCTTACCCTGTGTACAGAGAACGTCCTGACTGTGTAGTTTATCCTTACCCTGTGTACAGAGAACGTCCTGACTGTGTAGTTTATCCTTACCCTGTGTACAGAGAACGTCCTGACTGTGTAGTTCATCCTTACCCTGTGTACAGAGAACGACCTCACTGTGTAGTTTATCCTTACCCTTTGTACAGAGAACGACCTGACTGTGTAGTTTATCCTTACCCTGAGTACAGAGAACGTCCTGACAGTGTAGTTTATCCTTACCCTGTGTACAGAGAACGACCTGACTGTGCAGTTTATCCTTACCCTGTGTACAGAGAACGACCTGACTGTGTAGTTTATCCTTACCCTGTCTACAGAGAACGTCCTGACTGCAGTTTATCCTTACCCTGTGTACAGAGAACGACCTGACTGTGTAGTTTATCCTTTCCCTGTGTACAGAGAACGTCCTGACTGTGTAGTTTATCCTTACCCTGTGTACAGAGAACATCCTGACTGTGTAGTTTATCCTTACCCTGTGTACAGAGAACATCCTGACTGTGTAGTTTATCCTTACCCTGTGTACAGAGAACCTCCTGACTGTGTAGTTTATCCTTACCCTTTGTACAGAGAACATCCTGATTGTGTAGTTTATCCTTACCCTTTGTACAGAGAACATCCCAATTGTGTAGTTTATCCTTACCCTTTGTACAGAGAACGTCCTGACTGTGTAGTTTATCCTTACCCTGTGTACGGAGAACATCCTGACTGTGTAGTTTATCCTTACCCTTTGTAAAGAGAACAACCTGACTGTGTAGTTTATCTTTACCCTGTGTACAGAGAACGTCCTGACTGTGTAGTTTATCCTTAAACTGTGTACAGAGAACGTCCTGACTGTGTAGTTTATCCTGACCCTGTGTACGGAGAACATCCTGACTGTGTAGTTTATCCTTACCCTTTGTACAGAGAACCTCCTGACTGCGTAGTTTATCGTTACCCTTTGTGCAGAGAACAACCTGACTGTGTAGTTTATCCTTACCCTGTGCACGGAGAACTACCTGACTGTGTAGTTTATCCTTACCCTGTCCACAGAGAATGTCCTGACTGTGTAGTCTATCCTTACCCTGTGTACAGACAACGTCGTGACTGTGTAGTCTATCCTTACCCTGTGTACAGAGAACGTCCTGACTGTGTAGTTTATCCTTACCCTTTGTACAGAGAACGTCCTGACTGTGTAGTTTATCCTTACCCTTTGTACAGAGAGCGACCTGACTGTGTAGTTTATCCTTACCCTGTGTACAGAGAACGACCTCACTGTGTAGTTTATCCTTACCCTTTGTACAGAGAACGACCTGACTGTGTAGTTTATCCTTACCCTGAGTACAGAGAACGTCCTGACAGTGTAGTTTATCCTTACCCTGTGTACAGAGAACGACCTGACTGTGCAGTTTATCCTTACCCTGTGTACAGAGAACGACCTGACTGTGTAGTTTATCCTTACCCTTTGTACAGAGAACGTCCTGACTGCAGTTTATCCTTACCCTGTGTACAGAGAACGACCTGACTGTGTAGTTTATTCTTACCCTGTCTACAGAGAACGTCCTCCCTGTGTAGTTTATCCTTACCCTGTGTACAGAGAACGTCCTGATTGTGTAGTTTATTCTTACCCTGTGTACAGAGAACGTCCTGACTGAGTAGCTCATCTTACCCTGTGTACAGAGAACATGCTGACTGTAGTTTATCCTTACCCTGTGTACAGAGAACGACCTCACTGTGTAGTTTATCCTTACCCTGTGTACAGAGAACGTCCTGACTGTGTAGTTTATTCTTACCCTGTGTACTGAGAACGTCCTCACTGTGTAGTTTATCCTTACCCTGTGTACAGAGAACCTCCTGACTGTGTAGTTTATAATTACCCTGTCTACAGAGAACGTAATCGCTGTGTAGTTTATCCTTACCCTGTGTACAGAGAACGTCCTGACTGTGTAGTTTATTCTTACCCTGTGTACAGAGAACGTCCTGACTGGGTAGCTCATCTTACCCTGTGTACAGAGAACATGCTGACTGTAGTTTTTCCTAAACCCTGTGTACAGAGAACGTCCTGTCTGTGTAGTTTATCTTTACCCTGTCTACAGAGAACGTCCTGTCTGTGTAGTTTATCCTTACCCTGTGTACAGAGAACGTCCTGACTGTGTAGTTTATCCTTACCCTTTGTACAGAGAACGTCCTGACTGTGTAGTTTATCCTTACCCTTTGTACAGAGAACATCCTGACTGTGTAGTTTATCCTGACCCCTACTGTGTAGTTTATCCTGACCCTGTGCACGGAGAACTACCTGACTGTGTAGTTTATCCTTACCCTTTGTACAGAGAACAACCTGACTGTGTAGTTTATCCTTACCCTGTCTACAGAGAATGACCTGACTGTGTAGTTCATCCTTACCCTGTGTACAGAGAACATCCTGACTGTGTAGTTTATCTTACCCTGTGCACGGAGAACACCCTGACTGTGTAGTTTATCCTTACCCTGTGTACAGAGAACAACCTGACTGTGTAGTTTATCCTTACCCTGTCTACAGAGAACATCCTGACTGTTTAGTTTATCCTAACCCTTTGTACAGAGAACGTCCTGACTGTGTAGTTTATCCTTACCCTGTCTACAGAGAATGTCCTGACTGTGTAGTTCATCCTTACCCTGTGTACAAAGAACGTCCTGACTGTGTAGTTTATCTTACCCTGTCTACAGAGAACGTCCTTACTGTGTAGTTTATCCTTACCCTGTGTACAGAGAACGTCCTGACCGTGTAGTCCATCAGCTCCTCTTCGGCCACACACTGGACATGGACATCGTCATAGTCAGAGCCTCGCTGGCCGAAGTCAGGCCAATATTGCTCACACTTAGCCTAGAAAAACATAGATCAGTGTTTGTATCAAAGGACGTCTAAATGAGGCAAGAACTAAGTTTACTTAAAAGAATGAAAGGTTTCATTATACAGTGCAATGTTTTGTCTGACAAAGGGTTAAGTGTGTTTCCGCCAGACGCGTGTGTCATCACTGATTTGGGGGATCGAGTCATAATTTTCAACGCTATTTTCCGTTTTAAGCCCAAAGGAAACAATGGTAGGAAAATGGCTATTCTCTAAACCCTCAGCGTTGTCATATTGCAAGTAGAGGCCGACATGTGCAAATGTGATGTTTCAGTTTTACTTCATAAACACTACTGAAAATAAAGATTGAAGTTTCTTCGATGATTATTGCAGTATAATTACTGCAGAAATTTATTTAGACATTGTGATTTGCATTGTGTGGTTTATTATCTTACCTTTCCATTTTCAACAAAGTTTGTCAGCATAACTATTTTACTCGTCTCTATTTCCCATATCATTCTCCAGAAATCCCACATGACCTCACCGTACGGACCTGAAAGTACGCAGGCATTTTCCAGGTACATGATTGACGTCACGAACATAATGAAAACAGTCGGTGAGGACAATCACCAAGTGTATGGTAGCAGGAGAAGTGAAAGCGAAACCAGTGTTTAACAGGCGCACTTTATGTGACTGCTCATGAAATGTTAACAGATTCAATTAGATAAGCAGAAAATCTCGGGAAAGGAAATGTAACCGAAAGTACGGAAATAATCAGCACACATAGTTACCTTGCGTAGCTACAGATGCTCTCGGCCGGCCGTATCCCTGAAAATAACAAGATCGTGTTAGAGGCACCCGGTCATGTTGCTCTATTGTATGTAAGTCCAAGACTATTAACAGGCCCAGTTAACGCACACTGTGTACGCGTGGCTTAACACAGAGAACATTGTCAAACAGTCTCATGATCAAATTCATCGTTAACGAGTATTCAGGAATTGATAGGAAATTTGATGCTGGACGTAACCTTGAATACGAAACGAAACACATTTGGAACCAGATCATAAACATGAAACTAGTCAGCTAAATATCCCTTTTGGGTATCATACGAATCTAATCCAACAAGCGTCTATGGTTTGTTTGTCAGGTTTGTAAACTGTAAATCAGTTTATATGTTTGCGACATGTCACTTATATATTGTAGTTAGGATTTACCTATTCCCGAATAACGTCTTGTCCATTTGGTCAGATTTTGTGTGTTGAACTAAAGGGAATATCATTTGATAATACGATTGACATAATCTTTGCTCCAAAATATGACATCCTCACAAATTAGATGTCTCCAACGGACTGACTGAGTTTAGTCTTTTACGCCGCTTTTAGCAATATTCCAGCAATATCACGGCGGGGGACACCAGAAATGGGCTTCACACATTGTGCCCATGTGGGGAATCGAACCCGGGTCTTCGGCGTGACGAGCCAACGCTTTAATCACTAGGCTACCCCGCAGCCCCAAAATATCTCCAAAATATTACCAGTTGTAATTAAACTTTAGATACGTTACACAGTGAAAGTGAAGATATGTGATGGAATATATATCCAGAGTAACGAAACTGAAACGGGCAATGTAATAGCACCAAAATAATGAATTAATAAAAAGATATAAATCATGCGTTTTCATTAAATACTCATTATTGAATACTTTAAATGTCAAACTTCACAGAAAGATAAATGATGCTGCGATCTATATATGCAAACTTACATGTATATAGTTAGCGTTGATGTAGTCAGAACCAGGAATGTAGGGGATAGACTCCAGTTTGACTCGAGAGTGGTCGTCTGGAACAAAAATGGGAAGGAATTTAGATCCTAAAACATATCGCGATCGATTCCTTCAAAAAGTGAGAAATGCTTTTCACCCGTGGAACGTCCGGGTATATGTCTTCAGCAACATGTGCTGGTCGTAACATGATCCGGTGTCAGACTCAGTGATCTGGCTGTATGTGTGTCAGCGACTCCCACTCAGTGAACTGATGCTCATTATATCAATCGCTCATGTCTAGACTAGACTGGGTTATTTTAGAAACTGCGTCATACAGATGCAACCATGAGCGGGGATTTAGATGACAGAAAACAAACAAGGAAATGTATAAAATGCTCATTTCATAGTACTTTCGACAACAAGCAATTAAAAAACAAAATAAATGTTTACAAAATATGTTTTCAGGTATAATTCAGCATATTCTACGTGTGTACCTTTGAAATGATCAATCCACTTACATGGTAGTACAAAACTATGTTGTTATACTTACATGGTAGTATGTTTCGGTATCTGTTCTTAAAAGCATTTCCTGGCATTTCAGCTTCGTCACAAGAACCAAGTTTACCAAACGGAAGATCCTTGAAACAAAGTTGATGATAAGCGTGTATACACAAACATAAAGGAGAAGCATCACATCACCAAATAAAGGATCCGAACATATGTTATGTGATGCACTCTGTCTGGAACTGTTTCAGGGATGTTGAAAATAATACTGCTAACCAACCAACTATACGTCTTTAATCTTACATAATTTCACTTTGTCTTTGCAAAATACGTTGATCACTGGATTGTCTGGTCCAGACTCGATTATTTACAGACCGCCGCCATATAGCTGGAATATTGCTGAGTGCGGCGTAAAACTAAACTCACTCACTCACACACTTTGTAAAATACTCACAAAAAACTGTTTGGTTAAACCAGCATCGATTTTCATCTTCGCAACAAAGGAGCTGAGGTTCTGAACTGGAACCTCCGTTTTCCATATACATTCTGGATAAGACGAGTCAGCTGGGCAGTGTGTTCGAGGCTGCGAAACACCAGGTTTTGATGAGTTACTGGACGTGGGAGACCGCGAGCGAGAAACCTTTGTCCCCTGTCTGTCCTTCACTCTGGTGCCAGTAGAGACACTGTGCCCTTCCATGTCACCCATCAGGGACTGTACCTCATTTGTGACAGCAACAACAGGCTTGTGACATCCTGAAAGATGAAATGAAACTTGCAGGTTTATTTTTAGTCCAAACACAGGATGTCAGTGCAAAAGAACACACAACACAGTCTTGACCATCCTCAGAAACGGGATCCGTAAAGGAAAAAGCAGCTGTGAAAATTATATAAATGGATCACTGAGAATGAATAAAATGAAGAAGATTGTACTACTGGAATTATGAAAGACTGTCTCCTTCGCACCATTATTATTTAGTGAGCACTTTGATGTAACGCAATATACCTATTAGGATTTAACTGTTTACTCTTTCATTATTAGAAGCGGTGAGAACAACTATGCGTTTGTTGGTTACCCTTCGGACTATTTTCAAATGTTGGGTTGTCTATAGTTAACACGGTTGATCTCTTTGAAGAATAACGGAAGCATTGACCTCTCAGTTTGCCCGGACCATTCATATTTCTTCTGAAACAAAAGACATAAAAGTAAAAGAATGAGAAAATTGCACTTACAAAAACTTCATACAAATTATTCTAAATATAACGTGTTGTATTTCAGGAACGATAAATACGGAATGGACAAGTATCAAATGTCACTATGAAGATATGATCCTCAGAAATGACATCGTTGGTCAACTTACCGTCTCAGTACGAAGAAAGCCAGTATGAAAAGAATCCCAATCAGAAGACAAGGTATGACAATCCAGAGCATCTGTATCCAAGTTGATACTGATAACAGAAACCCAATTAGCATCCGTATATGTATCTGTTAACATCTCTTAACATTTTGTGACAGAAACCAAATACATAATTTCACACATGTAATTTTTTTCGAAAGTATCAAAATACATTTTTTACAATGATGCATATACATTACATGATTTTAGTATAATTATTGACATTAAAAATACATAATTATTATAATATCTACCATTACAGCCGCCTCGCTCCCAGCCTTCCGCACAGGTAAGACAATTTCCAGTTCTGTCACAGCTGCCGCACCTGGGGGGAACACCTGCTGCTGCAGTTGTCTCCGTAGTAGTTCTCCTCGCATCCCAGACATCCAGCATCAACCCTATCACACCTGGCACAATGTGTTGGACACCTGCTATCACACTGAGACCCCCACCAGCCGTCCTTACATCCGTGTGTACAGTTTCCAGAGTCACTGGAACAGTTGGTCTTCAGACAGTTGGAATTACAGGAGCGATGACACCGATGTCCATAGGTACCAACTTTACACCCGACTAGGCAAGTTCCATTAGTTATGTCACATGTACCATTGAGACACGTGTCGCAAGATTTGTCACATGTCTTTCCGTACCAGTTAACAGTGCATGAGGTACATGTGATGCTCTTTTGGTGACATCTTGAACACGTGTCTGGACACCGGGTGTCACAGCGTGGACCTCTGTAGCCAGGTTTGCATCCTGCACAACCATGTTGTTCACAGGACTCAGTAGCACAGTTGCCTGGGCATGATGTGTTACAGTGATATCCGCTGTAGCCGGCTGTACAATTGTAACAGGAACCACTACTTTGTGCACATGAGTTTGTGGCACAATGAGGTGGACATGGTGTCCTACAGTTAAACCCAGAGAAACCATTCTCACAGTCAGAACATGACCCATCAGTTCTGTTACACGACTGTGAAACACAGTTTCCTGAACATCTCATGTCACACTTGTCGCCATACCAGCCAGAAGTACATCCTTTGTCACAAGATCCAGTATCCCGTCTGCACGTTGCGTTTTCACAGTTTCCTTCACATGGAGAACCACACTGTAGCCCATGCCAGCCTTCTGTACATCCCCTTGTACATACACGTGTGTTGTTACATTCAGCATTAAGACATGTCTCTGGACAAGGCACGTCACATGTTCTTCCGAGATATCCCTCTTTACACTTGCAAGCACCTGAATTATCACAGATACAATTGTCATATGTCCCAGTACAATCACTTCCCCAGTAACAGTGTTTACATCCAGAATGGCAGGCCCCAGTCCACCTGCTACATGTAGATGTACATCCAATGCTGCAGGTTTCATTACAGTCACGACCCAACTTGCCGTCTGGACACACACATGAACTGTTGTAGGAGTCAGTGTCCTGTGATGTCAATGGCGGCAGCTTGTCACAGGATTCACACCTTCCCTCAACTGTTTTGTAGTAGCCCCTTTTTGCAACCTGCACAATCATGTCGGACAATAAGGAACGTGTTTGAAGGATCTCTTTCTGACATCAACATCTTGATAGATTATGCAGACTAATCATGTTCTTGTCAGTTGATACAGAGGAATATCACGTATATGGAAAAACTAGTCAACAATTGCACACACACATGGAAATCAAAAGAAAATCAACGCCTCATTCAAGTACTTTGAGGACGATATGTGGCTCAGTCAACCGCAGAATTAAGAAACGAGGTACACGTTATGGAATGATCTGCCTGAACTGGTATTACATGTCACGTCTTAGTCAGTGAAAACAAACCTTTTCCCGTACAAATGTCACACGTCTTCGCACACTCGTGAACGATTCCTGGCTGTGAACAATCAATCGTCTTGCAGGTGTCCCCTAAGTTGTCCACACAAGGTTCTAGATAATGCAATGTTTCAGTGTATACAGTTTTATGCCAATACATGTACAGTGACTTAGCATTATCATCTATAGCATCATCTGTTGCCCTTTGTGAATTGTTTTATTTACAATAACGAATGTTTGGCCAATAGACATAGGTTAAATTTTGAAAGTACGGTTTCATATACAAGTGACCTACAATTCAATTAGCATATTCTATATCACTGTAAATTATATTGGCTATATGCCACCAACTACCACTATACTACCAACGTGAAGCGGCTCAGATACAATTTAATTCGACGTACCCGACCCTGCTCTGTGCCTTGCAATGATCACAATCCAGCAGTAAACGATCACGCCAATCTGGAATTGGGAATGTACAAATACCTGACTGTAAACAATATCCCACTACAACGTATTAAAACTTTTCAAGCACGGACATGCACCCATGCTACCTACATCGTGAAATAGCTGTAAATATTCATATTCAAATATGCTCATTTTGATGACTGAAACTTGGGAGATCCACCCTGATGTGAACATTTCTACTGATATGGTACGATGGATTTGGTGACTGTGCAGCTATGGTCCTATTAATACAACCCCGGTATGACTATGCCACACATAACTTGTTTGGAATGTAATGGTGTAGGTTTCGCGAACTTCTGGAATAAATAACAGCAAAACAGCTTACCCCTCTCTAAAACAGCTTTCATTTAATACACATCAATCGCTTTGTGGAAGTGACAATTTTTTATGCAAGTATTATTTTCAATTTCTCTCACAGCCTTGTATCCTTTAAACGCATGAGACATGTGTGCATTTAAAATGTTAAATCCTTAAAATAGTGAAACAGAAAGACATTTCCATAAAAATATTTACATTTTCATTTTTTGCCAGTTTGTATGAACAAGTGTCAGAATGTAAACGGAGTCCTAACTTCACAGGTCTGGGAATTACAAGCAGAAGAACAGACTGATTGAATAAAATATCCTACCAAATTTGCCTGTGGCGTCATTTGCTAGTATGAGTAAGTAGAAGAAGCACGCGACACACCATGAATGCAAGCCACTGAAATACCTTCCCGTATCATACATCGCACGTAACACTGGTCGCGAAATCACTTGTTCCTTTGGTGATGGAGTGTATGATACATGATAAAGTTAAGATCAGTATATAGATGTTTAAGTCATGATTTACCTCCATGCTTCTCCTATTCCTCAGCCACGAAATATCCTGCCACATGTAGTCTTCCCTCTCTGGTGGACAGCTGTAATAAGGTTAGTCTAGAAACACACTGTATCCCACTACACTACACCACAGCCGTTAGAATGAATCATAATTTCCATTTCCCTGTTCACCTAGAATCGGAAATATAAGCACATCTGTACCCGGACATATTATGGGTTTTCCCAAACTATTTATAGCTGTGTGTGTTGTCATATCTTGTGACATATCGAGATACACATTACTAAGCAGGTTACAATGGAACAACGTGAACCCAATCTGATATACAGAAAACGTCCATGCTTCATGGGCTACTGACACGTGTGACGTTGAATATGATCATTACCATTCCTATTGACATGTGTTCTCTGTGTAGCGTTCTCGGTGGGAAGTGACAATGGGAGCATATAGCTGGAATATGATTAATTGCACAATCCTTCCGATCGGACTCTGGACCCGGGATTGTATACCCAACGTCATCTAATAAGGATTAAGTCATTAATATTAACAACAGCAATAATATAGAGAAGTATCAACACCGCAGCTCGGTTAGGATGGCAGACTGCCAATATATACTTCCTTACACTCACTAGTGTAAATATAGCCACTTACTTCAGGCAACTGTTCTAAACTACATTTGCAAAATATTCCCATACTGTTTAAAGGTACTGTTTACATGAACTGATGTATCGTAAACAAAATCCGTAACGTAAAAAAGATTATTGTCACGAGTTCAGAAAATGAAAAAAATCAGTGAAAATTGGCGAATTCTTAAAAAAACAATTACATGCACAATATTTGAACCTGATTTTCAGCAATCTGATGCGTGATCCTCGTGCAACCCATCTGCATAAGGTTTGCAGTTGGTTCCCAAAGTTAGTGGAGAAATCAATCTTCGATGTAACTATATGTGTGTGTGTGTGTGTATATATATATATATATATATATATATACATATATATATATACATAACACACACACATATACATATATATATATATATATATTTAAACATTTTCAAGGAAGTATACAATACAACGTTGATTAACAGATGGGATTATCATTTAGTAAATAATGTCATCCAAGTGACCAGACATATAATATGACCAGAAATTATTGAGAATTTTAGGAATATGTTTAATTAGATTTCTAGTATAAACAACCTTGACCAGCTATCAAGTGCTTGGTTTCATTCAAGAGAGACAACTCCGTTAATCCTTTTTCTTTAGTTTGTGAAGAGTTATCCCCCCTTTGTTTACTTACTAGCAGACGGCATTTTCATTGATCCTCAGTATGGATGATTAAGAGAAGAGGAAGTTGATTTTAGAGTATTATAACAAGGACATCAGATCAGCTAAACTGATTTCAAGTAGAACAGGCATCCCTTTGTCCACTGTTTATCGTGTTTTAAAAAATATTGCAAATGGATATGGCACTGAGCACCAGGGAGGCGCAGGTATGCCCAGAAAATTGACTGTCGGTGACAGGAGGCGGCTTGGTATTCTTGTTTCTAAAAACAAACGAAGGAGTTTAGAAAATTTAAGGCTGGATATGATTGATAGAGGAACTGTGGCTGTCTGTAAGGAGACAATCAGAACTGAGCTGCATGCAATGGGTTGGAAGAAAAGTCGAGGAATTCCATCACCGATCATGAAACTTGAACAAAAGGAGCAAAGGTTGAACTGGTGCTTACAGCATAGACATTTAACTGGGACAATGTGATTTTCTCAGATGAAAGTTCTGTGTGGCTGTTTCCTAATACACTGAAATTCTGGACCAAACAAACTGAAAAACCTTTGTATCAGCGCCCAAAGTACAGAACGTAATTTAACGTGTGGGGTGGCATATATCTGTGTTAGGGGCACCGCCCCTGTGGGAATATGAACAGTGAGCGGTACACAGATATTCTCGAGGGACATTTACTTCCATCTGCTCACGTGTTTTTTGGATTTTCCAGCAGGACAACGACGCAAAACATCGTTCAAAGCATTCACAGGCCTGGTTTCAGACCCAAAATATGACATTATTAGATTGACCAAGCTATAGCCCTGACCTAAATCCAATAGAAAATGTTTGGGGACTTATGAAGCGATGTGTCAATAAGAGAAATCTGAAAAATATTTCTGAAATGAAAGAAGAGGTGGTCCAATATTGGGACAGCATGGACCACGACTTTCTAACTTCTTTGATCAGTAGTATGCCCCGCCGCATTGAAGCCTGCATTGCTGCCCATGGTGACTTGACAAAATACTAACTGTTCACCTGTCTTTGAATCTGGAGTTATGTTCTGCTAATATTCACATTTAATACTTGAGTAATGAGTGAAAAAAATATAAATATTTACAATCTTTAAATTCTCAATAATTTCTGGTTGTACTGTATAAATGTCATAGCCGCAAGGTAATGAGCCTTTGGGTTGTCCCGACTCGGTCGTCATGACAATAGTAAATCTCGTATATTCAGACTGTCAGTATTAACAGCCATCAGGGTCCCGATCCATAAAGCGTTCGTAACATTACGACCTGTCGTAACTCTGTAGTATGTCATTGGCTTACGAATGTCGTAACACTACGAACGCTTTGTGGGTGGGGACCCATTATATCTACTTAAGCACTGCTTAATAATTAAGATAGATGGCAGTCCTTAAGTTTCATTCTGCAGTGTTAACACGTAAAAAGAACTGACGTGTTTTTGCATCTTTATTACATGCTTTATTACCGTAATGATATCACCTTTATTCATATATACAAAAGGTAAGCGCCGTGCCTGGCCCCAGACCCTCTACCCTATGAAAACACAGCCAGTCTGTATCCTACACTGAAAGAGAGACGCAGAAATGTAGTACGTTTGGTGAACCATTCCAGATCGTCCCAAGACGAAACTAGTCGTAGGTTTGTAATTATAGCGTGGACAAAGAGAAGAGATAGGACTGTTTAGGGGGAATTAGGACATTGGGGTCTGTACCTCTGTCCTTCCTATTATGTCTGACGTATATGGTTACGGTACAACTATTCAAGCTTTGCAGCGCAAGGAAACATTTCTACTTTCACTTTCGAGTATAGACTTGGCCCTTCAACAGGTGACAAATATTTACAAATGAGAGATATATAGACATTTGTTTAGGGAGCCCGATCTGTTGAAAGGCACTACAATGTCCCATATTTTCACCTTGCATCTTCATGTTTGTGTTTGGATAAGTTATATAAATGACAATTTCATATTATATGATAAACTCACCTATATTATGGATTCCACAACTCGTATCGAACGTTTGTTTTACGGCCCTAATTTTTATGTTGTACTTTTCAGACCCACTGCAATTCAAAGATTCAACTTATTTCAATTAATCAGTACTTTACGCTATGTACATAAATTCAATACACAATGCAAGGCAGAATTTATTAAAGTTGAATATGTGTTAAACATATGTCAATTATGTGAACTGTTCCGTTTCTTGCCCTGATGACTTCCTAAATGTAAGTTTTGTTTGTTAGTTCGTTTGTAGGTTTGAGGTTGCACTCAGCAATGTTCCAGCTATATGACGGCAGTGTGTATCGAGTATCAGACAATCCAGTGATTTACAGCATGAGCATCGATCAAACATCTGACTGAAATATTAACCATTAGCCATAAACTGTAAAGGAACCAGTTTTTACAGAAAATTGTTCAGGGAATCGAAACTTATAAATTTGGCCAAGAGGAACAGCATTTCAAAGAATGACCCTCGTTGATTTATCGGGTTTACAGCAATCAAGGCTTTAGTACAGAGTTTAAGAAGCACATTAGAGGCACCAGTACCCAACATGCAACTCTCCAATGTGTTATACCGCCTATTATCATGTTTGTTCACATGAACACTAATACTTCAAATCAACAAAATTAAATAATGAACTAAATCAATACAACTGTGAATAGACAGAGCTAGCCCCTTAGCACAACTATAATTACTATAGCTGGCTTACTTACATATCGGTGTATTTTCAGATGAACAATTGATTGGCCCGTGATGGTGCATGTGCAAGGACAGCGTTCACCTTTCGAGGACACCTGTTAGCAATGATACTGTATAACGATATATGAACACAAACGTATGCTATAGACAAAATCGGAAAAATGGACAAGACAAAACATCAAAGAAAATAATATAATTGATCACTAACAATCACTGATGAAAAGTATAAGCTGGGACATGCCGGCAGGGCACAACATGCTTACCCTTTTCCCGAACACCTGGTGTCAACACTTATTTTCAGTGATCAATCCATACATTTTTTATTATTTTAGCCTTTACATCAATGTAATGTTCTATTCTGCGGATGGCCAAGCTAAGACTAGAAGGGTAAATAGCATTACAAAACAAATGTGATTTTAGCGTGAAATTTATATTAATATTATAAAGTAAACAATATGTGCTAAGATCATAAACAGCTTCTGTAAGGATTATGTCTGATTTAATTTCCTATCAAATAAAATTATCTCGAAAGCCCTATGAGTGACGTACATTTGACATGATGAAATAAGGTGACAACGACTGTGACGACAGTGATTTGAGATCAGGCTGGATTTGACCATTATGATCTTATCATTTTGGAAAACCTTTGCTTTTGTTTTTAGTTCATGTAGTCTATGGCCGTTTGGTACAAAATAGAGTCTACAGCTTATACGTGGTATGGATTTATGAGAAGAGGAAATAGAATTTTCAGAAATATTTCAATTCAGTGTCACAGAGCACTTGATGAAACAGAAGCCGGAAAAGGAAGAATTGATACCATATTTACAGCCGCGAGGAATCACGTATGATAAACTGAAAATGAAGATACTAATTTGCTGTTAAAAACATTATCTATGGAGAAGTAGCTTAAGGGATAAACTGCACAATAACATAGTATCTGTTATTTTTAACTTCAACTGCATGAAACAAATCTCCATCTTCATCTGCACATGATGGCTGGGTAGCTTCACCTTGAATCATTTCACAATATGTGAGACTTGTGATATGTGGCTAATCAGAGCACGGGGAATAGAATACAGGTATATTGGGTTTGAACGGTTAGTGGTTTGGGGAACACGTGGGATAACTCAGTACAGACAGAGTTTTTCCCTTTTTAAATATGTTCTTCAAAGAAAAGGAAGAGCTAAAGTAGGAAAAATTGGAAATATCTGACGAAGAATC